TCTCTCTCTCTCTCTCTCTCTCTCTCTCTCTCTCTCTCTCTCTCCATTTTATGAAAATCTTAAAGCATCATATAAAAAACGTCGCTACTAATCATTTGTAAATTATGAACGTTTTTAATAGCTTTTGAGAAAACATTTCGCGTTTTATAATATATAATTATATAATTAAATGTATAATTATTTTGTATATTTTATGGATGAATTTGTTTTATTATTTTTTCTTCTGTGAAAAAACTTCTTTACTGTGATGTAAAAAATCTATTAATATTCATGCTTATAGAGTGCCATGAGGACGTTGTTAAGATTGTTAATATATGTGTACATTATGGAGTCGTTTGCATACCTTTCGGTGGTGGAACCAGTGTTAGCCGAGCAACAAGTTGTCCTTCGGATGAACGTCGAACGATAATTTCATTAGATACATCGCAAATGAATCGAATATTGTGGATAGATAGGGACAATTTGTTGATATGCTGTGAATCGGGCATTATTGGTCAAGATCTGGAACGGTTGCTTCGCACTGAAGGATTCACATGTGGCCACGAGCCCGATTCTTACGAATTTTCCAGGTACGCAAAATATAATTTCTAATTAGAGTATTTATAAAGTCGAGTCTTTGTATGAAATACATCAGATAGATATATATTGTATTAAGGTAAAATACTCTCAGTACAAAATTTTATTTTATTGATGAATTTCTTTCGTTTTCTATATACTTAAATTGCGGACTTTAATATTGAATATAAACTATTTTTTATTATTTGCGTTAATTTTGATTAACAAACAATTCGTGCTCAAAATATAAATATTGTTAGAATTTTTTTTCAATTTGAATTCATAAAATGCATTAAAATTGTAATTTCGTACAAAATTAATTTTATTTATCAAGATACATAATATGATAAAGAGATAAGTGTAATAATAGATACTTTGAAGAGAGGCGGTACAAAATACACATTTAGACGTAAAATCACAATAATTAAAAAAGCTGTTTAGATTACATGCGATGAATAATAATCAATTAGTACTAACTTGCAGCATATTGCATGATGACATTAGTGAATATTAAACAGTTATTGCATATATATATGACTCCGCCATTAAGTGTCCTTACTGTTAGTTAGAAAGAAGAGATTAAAACGAAAAATTGCGTTATATAGATACCCCAGTAGGACCAAATGGCGACTTCCGGTTAATTGATTCATTATTTATATCCACTCTAAGTAATCTTAAGTGATACATTGAAATATCTCGAAAAATATAAAAGATACGAAAAAATGTTTTATATAAAAGTTGCTCAGTTACTAGGGGGAAAGAAAGTGGTGACTTTGGTTGATCTAGAAATGTCCTTAAAGTCAAAGTTACTTAAAATTTTTTAAGTAAAAACCCCAATTTTTTATTTTATATTCATATAGCTGACATCAAGACTCTCTCTTTTTAAAAATACTATAATAAAATATTTTTTTATTGAGTACGTTACAAATTATGGGCTTGAAAAATTAACAAATCAACTAGACGTGCTTCGTTTGACCACGTTAATATTGATCATTCGCCGAGCAATTGTTATAACTGGTTATTTTTAATGGAAATTTTCCCTATTTTTTTTACTCCAGAAATAAAAAGAGCAGAAAATTCTACATTCAGATAGGCTATCATGGAGTCAAATTCAATCCAGAGATCATTATAAGATCAACTTGATTTTTTAAATGAAAATCTCAAACTTTAAATTCCGAAACAAAAACAGCTAAAATTAAGTTGATCTTATAGATCTTATATTGATAAGTATCACAGAATGATTGCCAAATATTTCGAGCGCAGGTAGAGCGGATTAAACTTAGTCGAAAAGTTTACTTTACCATTTTGTAATTTTCGCAATAGTTAACAAGATATTAATTACTAAAAATCGCCGAATATTGATTTTCAATAATTTTTTATTCAAGTACTTTTAATTTTACAGAGAAACAGTAAGAGACAAACATTGTCTATTTTCTTTTTGTAGAGCTCTAAGAATTTTTTCAGAATTTTTTAATAACTTTTTA